GGGGGGGGGGGGGGGGGGGGGCGTACTCTTATGTTTTGCATGCCTTAGCGGTTAGACCATTGACCACGCGTCCTCGAGAGGACGGAGCATTGTTCCCAAAGGACCGATCACCGATGGCCAATCGTTCCTTCCTACTTTGCCAAAGGTGGCTCAAAAATGTCTTCCCTAGTTTGTCTATCCTAACGATATCCCTTCCCGCCTTTTCAAACCACTTTCTACTCCCCAGTACCGCTATCGTCCTCTCCTCCCTATTCCATGCCTCAAACATCTCCCTGTACGTCCCTTGTATTTTTCCCAGCTCAGTCATGTACACTTCCCTCTCCTTTTCGTACAAGGGACATTCCGCGACTACATGAACACTGTCTTCGCATTCGAAGCCGCAATCACATTTGAACTTGTCGTCTTCGTCGTCTACCGTCCTATGTCTTCGTCGACGTTCGCGAAGGCCTATGTCCCCGGTCCTGGATTTTACCTTAAGCTTTGTCCCTGCATCCATTGGTCCATGTAGGTAATCCTTGAACCCTATTCCTTCTTTCAACATTCCGTACACTTCTAGACCCTCCTTATCCTTGGATTGGGGCGGGGGGGGGGGGGCTCTAATTTCAATTGCGCAAGGGGTACCGTGGAAAGACACCCCCCGGCAGCAGGGCAATGACTTATTTTCGTCAACGAAGCCCCCTTACTAGTTGCTACATATAACCAAAATCAAAATTGGCCCTCCCGGGGGACGTGTGTGTGTGGCGAAATTGGCCCTCCCGGGGAGGAGAGGGGGTTCCGCTGGCACGCCCAGATCTGCTGTTCGAGGCCGTGCCGTCGAAAGCTGCAGCTGCGGTCCGAAAGTCCGCAAAACTGGGTCCATATCAGTCATGATCTACTGCTGTACGCGCCGTCAGACCAGACCAAATCCGCCGAAATGAGGGCGTACCGAAAACAACCTATTGTAGGGAGCACCCGGCAATCACACATGAGACGCTTTCATGGGACCCAGTTAAAAGAGTTCCTCAACAAGACATGCTTTCGTCGTGGCGCACAGCAGCGGTTGGGGCTTGTCTACAACAGCGTACCGCAAGAGTCTTCTTCCACAAACGTTTGCTCCAACCATGACAAACGTTTCCACAACAAAACATTCCACCTATTTGGCATGTATTCAAGATCAGGAACAGGCGACATTGTGGGTGCTCAGATAATGTCATTGCGTTGCGGACTCCAACTTGTACATCTCTACCTGTAGAGAGGATCAAGGGGCAGCGACATGCTCTTCGGTACGCCCAGATGTGTTTTTGGGGCCAAGCTGTCAGAGGCCGAAGCTGCGGTTCGTACCGAGCTGTCAAAGGCTAAAGCTGCGGCCCGTAGTGTCCGCTATCCTTGGTCCATATCGTTCACGATCTACTCCTTGTCGCACACCCAATTCCCCTAACTGCTGGTCGTCCAAGGCAGTGTGCCTACTGACGTGACCACCACTGAACAGACCACACGAAGAAAACATCCCATGGGTCAAGAGTGACTCAGCTGGGTAGAAAATGTTAGACGGCGTGAAATGAGCACTTTTAGCTGAGTGGCCGGGGCGCACTTCCGTGCTGTCAGTTGGATGGTAGGGTTGAGAGGTGCTGAGTAGATTTCGGAACGGCGTCAAAATGCGAAAACAACAACATGTCCAACAAAACTTTTCCATGTCCCTCGTAGCCACCGCATTCCACCCTGCCGTGTCCTAAAGAGCCTGGGGTGTGCCCTGCCCTGCACTATCGAGCGGCAACCCCCTCAGAGCTGTGTGTAACGGATCATGTCCGAGATTCACTTCCGATTACGTAAGAAACGGTCTACACAGCCATTGATGCGAGTGGCTAATTTTCGAATTCTAGACATTTGTGGTAAGGGGTTCACTTTCTGAAAGAAATTCAATGACTCCAGGATCGTTTCGAACCACCCTACGTAGTGATTCTCACCTGAGAATGGTAGATTGAGACGCTTTAGATTACCTGTCGGAAATCCATTTCGGGTTGTTGTCACAGAATAGAGCCGGTGGACACGCTGAACCCGCGTACAACACCGCGCGCCAGCTGCGCCCTCTCACACAACCCGTATCGCACATCGTTCTCGCTTTCACCGAGGTTGAAATTCGCTGTGTTTGCCACAGCATACATGACACCAAGGGCCTTGAGCCGCAGCGCGAACCCGGAGACAACCGTGTCTGCAACATGCAATATATTCTGATCAAGGGGGTGCTCTGAATGGTGAATCGAGTGTTGTTTGTTGGTGCTTGTTTCTGGGTTGTTGTTCTGTATACCTGGCTAGCGCTCACGTGCTGAATTGTTTGCGGTGAGCTAGTTTGTGCAACAAAACAACAGAAAGAATCGCTTTCGGAGTGCTACAAACCCCTGTTGGTATCTTGCCCCTTTTATAGCCCACCCCCCGTTACCTTCTCAGGAGGTCGCAACATGCCTCCGTGTACCTCCTCTCCAAGTACGTGCTTTCGTACCCCGTATTGCCACCCTCCCCTGGCCTGATAGGCGTGGCATAAATTGTTTTTGACAAACTACGATTACCACCCCGCCCCCCTCGTAACCACACGCGGTGAAACAGGTCTAGGTAGCATTTTCTCGTTTGAGGAGTAACACGAAGACAAATCAGGGAGATATACCTATATGAATCGGCACGTGCTTGTGGGTAAGCAACGGGCGTTACACCCCGGAGGCAGGGAAGGGAGGGACAAATATCAAGTATCCATGAAGTTAGAAACACACGCGACACGTCAATTGCTGTAAATGCACGGCATGGCTTCCTGACTCTCCAAAAGAACGCCAAGTCGACCGTATCGTGGTTTTTCCCGCCTTGAAACACTGGACACCGGCTTAAGTGGTCAACAATGATGTTTTTTGTTTTTGGCACAAGGTACACTCGCCTTGTAGCAAGGTATTATTTACCCTGAGTACATCAATGGTCAGGTTGAATTCTCTTTTGAAAAGGAAGAGAATGAACCAGCTTCTCATCGCTCGCGTTTTGTGAAGAATACTGACAAACTGGGCCGCTACGATGGCATGCACGCTGAAAACGATGTTGCTAACTTGCGGTTACAGGGTACTCTTGATTGATCTCAACATCGGGCACTCCGTCTTCGTTGTACGGAGTCGGACTGGCGCGAAGTGTTTGCAACGGGAGGCCTTATTTTGTGCGATTGTCCTTGCGGTTGTATTCCTATGCACTCACCCACAAGGCGCCCTATGATTGCGGCGGTTGAAGGTGTCAAAACAAACAAGCGCTCGCCCTTTTTTGCTCGCTGGTTTGCCCGTCCCGCTTTTTTCCCTCTTCGTAGCACCAGGGCCTGTTAACCTGCACCAAACCCATCATGGAGGTTGCGGGATGGCGTGACCTCGATTGGGGCCAGCAAGATGTATCGCTATCATCCCTGCCGGCTCTGGCCAGAGGATCCAGAACGATCTCGGAATGTGTGAGGATGGTGCCCCGACCAAAGCGGCTGTACGAAGCGGGACCAGGGCTTTTATTCCTGTACGAGGGGAGGCAAAGGTCCTTCAATGGAGTGCTGGTGTGCCTGAACTCCAACACGGGCGGGGGCGCATCTCCCCCAGAGCTGAAGGTTTTGGAGTTGAGGGCACTCGAGATCGGGGTGGGCGAAGCGACCATGGGCTTTTTCGAGGGGTCACACGAAGCCTGGGACCAGTTTCTGGTGGAGGGCGGCGGTTCACTTGTCGGCAGACTTCCTGATCTCGGCTGCCGTGGCGTTGCAGGCACCGATCTGATGTTGATATCGAAGCCATGCTCCGGGATTCGGCACTCGGTCCTAGAGGGGCGCGGGGACGTGCAGATGTCTGTATCGTTCTTACCAAGGCTTAAGACTATTGGAACCTTACAAACAGCGCCCGCCTGGGTACTAGGGATATCGCCGGAGGCCGGAGCCCCCGACACGGTGGCACCGTGGGGCGGCGACGATAGCGTTCCAATGGATGAACCAGCGGCTAATGCTCGATGGGTCCGACGGAGGAACTCACTAGCCAGTCAGGAAGTTGGTATGACTGACGTGTACAAGGGAGATGTATCGTACGTACCCTTGGCGTGGCTCCGTTGCTCGCCTATCGCAAGTGACTGGATTGCAGGATCAATCCTGTGCGGACTGCAGTCTAAGTTCGGTAAACTGCTTGTAGTTGTCTACACCTCGATGGCCACCGCCTGGGTGTGGTTCGAAGGCGACAGACGTTGGTCATCGGTTGTGATGGCAGCGTCCACGTTTTTGTTGGGTTCACTGTTTCTGTGGAACTACCAAGCGGTGGCTAGAGCCATTTCTCCTTTCGGCAACACCCGGGACCAGCTGATTACTTTGATCTTGGCGTCGCTGTCCTTCTTCTACTCCATCCTCGCCGGGCTGTACCATCCTAGGGGAATGCTTGGCGGGGAGGTGTGGTGGCCCGCTGTTGTGGTTGTGCTACTAATTTTCCTCCTGTGCGCTGCAGGCCGAGAATGCCGCAGACGCGATAGGAGGGTCGACGCCAAGTCGTGGGTCTCTCTGTGCCGTCGGGCGGCAGTGGATTTCCAGGAGGTTGGGATGCCTCTTCGCGAGGTGCTGAGGGGCTCAGGTGCTGACTCCAGGGGCTACTACGGCACCATAGGTGGTACGCAGCGTACTGTGAGGCTACAAACAAACACCCCGAGGGGTCAGCCGGTGACCTTGGAGAGCTCGGGGTGGTCGCAGGGGGAGTTGTCCCTGACAGGAGAGGAGGCCTTTGCACGGTGTGGTGGCACCGACCCAACCTTGGACGCGTGGCTCGCTGCTTTTGTGGGGGAAGTGTTCGAGAACGCGTTCACTCTCTTCAACCAGGGCCCCGCAGTAGTCGGCAGGATAAACGCATGCTTGGCGGCGTTGGCTGCTACCACGTCCAAACCGCCCAGTTGGGCGGAGGGCATCGTGACGTTGTCACAAGTCTACGCCCACGATGACAGGGAGCTCATTTCTGCAGCGATGGAGAGGGGATGGACGAGTGACGAATTCCTTCTTCGCCGGGTGGTGGTATCGGCTAAACCTGAGCGCACAATCTTGTCGCTTCCGGATGGATTTGCCCTAGAGGAAAACATCTTTCCGGTGCTGGTCCGACCGAAGGAGTTGATAAAGATCGCTCTCCGGGGATCAGACTACGGTCTGCTCACGGAACAGCCTAACAGGCAGGCGGGGCTAGCGATTGAGTCCCGTAGCACCTTGTACGATAGACTCTGCCTGCGGGGCATGGTTGGAATTCAGGACAGCTACGGATCGAACCATGTCGGGCCACTGGTGGTAGCCGCCCTCCTGGCCTGCTCGGTGGGTCCAGCATGGCAAGGGTACGCAGTTCAGGTTCTGCCGCTTATCGGCGTGTTTGCCATGTGGCGTGGTTGGCGCTACGAAGTATTCGAGGCACTGTCTTTCCTAGTCGAGACGGCAAGAGGGCTTCTGTCAGACCAGGCTTGTGTGCTTGCAGGTTTGGTGGCTGGTGTGATTTCTTGGAACGTGATCGTCGCCGCGAGCGGTCAAAGTCTCGTTGGTGTCTTGATCGGGGACGTCGTAGCGGTCAAAGTGACGTTTGTGGTCGGGGTGGCAATGCTGAGGATGGTTTACTCGAAGCAGTGGTCGCCCGGGGTAGAGCTAGGGGGAGGGGACGATCAGATGGAGGGGCTCTGTCACCTCGCTCTGGAGGGACGACCTGTGCCATTTCAGTATAGGATGTTGGTTGTTCCATCAGCCACCTGTGCGGATCTCCCCGCTTTGGCCCGCATGCACGTTGGAGCGGGATATTCCTTTAGCACGAGTGGTCAGGGAGACGTACAGGCTGTGGGAGGGAAAGCGCATGGAAGTACGTAAGGGCAAGTATTGGGGCTCGTTTTGCAATCCACGGGATGTCGGATCGACAAGTTCTGTTGTTCACGTGTATGCATGCGTGTGTGTAAATATTGCAAGTGACCCTGCGTTTCACCCTGATAGGAGAGGAAAAGACGAGGGCAAGCCAACCATTTTGTTCTATTCACTGTTGAAAAAATCTCTCGGAGCAGCATGATGGAACCTAGACTGCCGCATCTGCGCAGACACGACCGGGGTCGATGACCTTTTGGCAGCAAAATTGAACATTCGTCCCTCCGGAAGGAGCAGGTTTCCGTTTCCCAGGGTCACTCTGCTGCATCGAGCAGACGCTGGTTGTTGTGAAGAGTGGGCGGACAAAGTCGCTCGCAACAACGGCAGAGTGGTACAAAATTCCATGGGTTGACTGGTGCCTGAAATATGTTATAGAATGCTCCAGGTGTACACCTTGTGTCATTTCGCGCACAATTTGCACTTTCCCACACCACCGTTCCCGCCAATCTGTCTGTCTTGTCAACAATGTACCCCCTCGAGCAAAAAGTTACGCGCTCGCCCTTCCAACCCTGACGAAATTGTGTTCCACTTGCGCATTTTGAAACAGCCAAGAGTCTCTATCGTCAGCCTCCAGACAACGCAATGGAATGTTCGGGATGACACTACCCGTTTCGGTGTCCTGCGTGGTGTGTGTCATACAAGATTGGTGGCGGGCAAGCCGTGGCCGTGGGCAGTGGGGCTTTCACGAGGCCACCTGCCTGCGGTGAGGCGGTAATGCAGGCCTTCGGCACTTCCGCATTTATTTGAGGTGATCAAGATTGGGCGAACTTGACAGAGCACTTGTGACGCCATGTCAACGCCAACGAATTAGGGCACCCTTTGGTGCTGCACATGTGTATCTGCAAATGGAACGCGGTGGCAGTTGAACCTTTTTCGTTTCTACGTGATTCCATCCCTCCATTCGGACTAGAGGCGCTAGAAACTCTCTCCATCAGTACACGCACCAAACGGCCTACGCCTCCGTCCGGAACTCAACCACAAGAGACTACCGTCCGCCATGTTTGGAAATTGGAAATATAGTGCTTACCTTCAAAAACAAACTCCCGGCCGAAAATAGAACGACGCCAACATCTGGTTGCACCGCAGGTCAACGCTAGTCATTGTGTTTGCGTTCGCGGAGAACGTCTTCCCGCGCCATACTTCCGCATGTACCTTTCGTCGAAACACCTAAGGCTCAGCAGCCCGTGCTAAATCGGGATGTTGCCGGTATGCCACTCTTTTCTTCCTCGTCGCGGTCCGGTTGTTGACCTGTCAGGGGCACGGTGCGAAAGCTGTCCAAAACAAGACAACAGAGCTTTCCCCGAAACATCCAAATGGAACAGGTTTGGAGAACCGGGTTCCTCATTGATTTGCCCGACTTGATTTCTGTGTAGCCGACGCACACGCGCTCGTCGTTCGCGGTGTTGACCTTCGACGTAAAACTGCTCTGAGAACCATCGTGTGGCACAACCAGTGATGTCACTGCTGAGACCATGACAATCGATCCTCCAAAGGAACCAAGCAGATACTTCGACGGTGAAACAATAGGCGAGAGATAAAACTTCCACAACTCCTGCCCACAACAAAACTAGCCACAGCACAGAAGTCCAACCGCCAGTTTCGGAACCTCGCTTCCAAACGCACAAACCTCGAAATATGCGGAACTAATTGAAGACTGAAGAAGTTCTCTCCGTCGACAAACTCAAGGTTCGCTTGGCCCCTCTCATCATCCGGCGGAAAGAAGCCAGCTTCAGGTGCGTACCTACATAGGCCCCATTTTTCCGCCAGAGGGGGGGATCGGGAACGGCGGGCGGAGGAAATTTGGTCATCTTTTCGTTTGCCGTACGGGCCCGCAGGTATGTAAGAAGCGTCAATATGGGGTCCAAGGCTCAGTTTCTTATGTCATCGCCACTGTCGAGCACAGGTCGTTAGATGGGGTTTAGTGCAGGTTCACCGTTGAGCTATACTTCTTAGGCCTCTGTTTCTTTATATACTATTTCATAACTGCGGGCCCGTATGCTGTATCAGGATAAGTATGCATTGTAGGGCTACTTGATTGAGTGTCGTGGCAGTCCCCGGCGAAGGTGGACGGAGGTACGAATCGCCCCGCCCAGCTTTTCGCCCAGCTTTTCGCCCAGCTTTTCGCCCACCTTAACACGCGGTGGCCAGCACCCGCACCACGCCCGCGGCTGCGGGCGGTCACAGCAGTCTCACTTTTGTGTCGTCTTCGCGTTGGTACTGATTGGCATCCTTCCGTCCTTCTCGTAGCGGTTCAGAACTCCGCCTTGTGCGTGCCTTTCTACCGTCGTCCGTATTGCCGCAATTATGTACGTGGTCGCACTTCTCGTTGCGGACGTCGACGACGCCATACCATGCGTCCTTGTCTCAGAAACCGCGCATTTCTTGAACGGAGAGGTCACGGCTATTTTGGTCCTGCCGCTCTGAGCACACCCATCGATTGCTCGACGACATGTCAGCCTGCACACTACACAGCCCGCGGATCATTCCTACCACACCACACGTAAATATCTCGCAATGACCCAGAGCGTTGCCCTCTGCCCGATAGAGCATTCAGCCCCGAGAAGTTATCAACGAAGATAACAGACGGGCTACTATCAGCCTGCCGGTGACTATGCAGTGCTCCAGCAGCCAGACATGGACTGGCACACACAAGCAGTGCAGTGCAGTGCTGAGTGGCAGTGCACGGGACTGTTCCCGGGGGCTCCGTGAATTGTGCGAGCGATTTTCGGGGTTCCGACACAACACAAGCAACCAGACACATACAGAGACCGGTGCTTGTGTGCTTAAGCAGTGAGAGCTAGGTGACAGGAGTCATGGCACATGCAGTGAGAAAGTCCGGCCGGGCGATGATGAAAACCTCTCGGTGTTGCCGAGGCTGCCCTGTGACTTCCGTTGCGAGCATCTTTCTATGCTGCTACACGCTCCTCAGCGAACATGTGTCCGCATTCAACGTCAATGTGGGCTCCCCGACGACCCCAGGGCGAGTGCGCGGGCTACGTCCATCGCTAGACCGGGGACTTTCTGTCGACAGGATCAACGGTATCTCTTCACCATCGCGAGTTCGGGATCGAGTGGTGGTCGTCATGAGTGCGGAAAGACGGTCTTCGTGGTCGTGGAGCCAAGCCACGGCAACCGCAATAGCGACGATGCAGGTGTGTGTGCGGTGTGACCGTACATCACAGAAACACGCTTGTTGGTTTGACCGCCGCTGCCACTGCTGCTGTTACGGCGTGTGCTTGTACCGCAACTGAACGATGTCTAGGATAAGCGTGGCTGGTAGGCTCAGTATCGTCTCTTCAACTCTACCAAAAACGCCAAATCTCAAGCTGCCATTGAGCTTCGGATCTATCGCCAACTGTTGGGCAAGATGGATAAAGATTTCTCCTCTGGGCAGCTACAGCAGTAGTCATCAGCTGGAGACCCACGGTGTGTCCCTGTTCTTTGCAACGTCTGGTATAGCCGCGATGCATAAGCCTCCTTCGTTGTCGAGAATCGGGCTTTGAACGTCAACCGAGGGGGTGCGCTTTATGTAGGTACGGCAGTACTCTGCCACAGCGATACATAGTTGATAATTCCAGGGTACGACTTGCGGCTGCCCGTTGCCAACCCCATGGAGGCTAAACCCCAAAAGATTCAAGGTACCACAGGAGAAAAGTGGGGAATATCGCGGAGATCTTATGCGACCCCGGCTCTACCAGGGTGGCTGAACTAGAGAGGCTAGACTGGTGCAAAGAACAGTTGGGGATGGGAGGTGGAGAAGAGGAAGCAGGCAGAGCGGAGAGATTCATGTTGAGACTCTACTTCCGGTCACCGGGAACCGCGCTGTGTGCGTATGTACCAACACTGTTGTCCATGTTTGGGGACAGGTGGGGTGGGGTGACATTCGATGGATAGGAGGGGTCTGGTTGAACTGCCCGTCATCGAACAACCAGGCGTAACGTTATAGCCCTCGTTTTTAGCAGGAGCCAAATAGCATGGTGCGAGTCAGTCCGGCTACAGGACGAGTGCCTCCCCAATCCCGTTGGTCAGGTGGACGCACCCGACCGAACTGTGCCATCCTCCTTGCCATTGTTGCGCGGCTGGCCAATCAGATCGTCGCGACCGGAGCGCCCGCGATGGCATCCGTGGTTGAACCACGCTCTGCTGGACCCGGCCTGGTTACCACTGTCGGCGCGGATTTGGATTCCGCCGGGGGTGCGGGAGAGACTTCAGCGAGCGCGGCGAGCGAAGTACCGGCGGCGCCGGAACCAAGCGGGACTTTCGAAGAGTCGTGGAGCTTGAGTAACCAGTGAGTTGGTTTTACCTGGCTCTAAATGGTGTGGGCTTCTTATATAACAGTACTACACGCCTTTGACAGGCATCCGCCTTTGACATGCATCCACCGAGATTGTTTCTCCTTGTGTGAATCCTGGGTATGAACCGGCAGTAAATAATACTCTCAGAACGCCCCGACCGCAGAAGAGGAGTATTGGCCCGGTTTTGGCGCAGTCATGATTCTCCCGTGTCTCCTCGTATTAGTGACACGGCAGTGCTTACAGCACCAGCAGTGTTTGTCACCCCTCGTCCCCACCTCAGGCTAATGTGTACAACTCTTCTCACACCGTAGGTCGCAGTGGTGTCAGAACGCACAACACAGCCAAGTCGTGTGCAACACTACCCCACACCCCCTTTCCACGTGCGCTGCTGTTGTCGCCAAGGTTTTATTTTGACCGCACCCACAAGGGTAACGACTGGAACGCGGTAAAATCGCGGCTGTCGGCGGATATATCGGCGGGTAGAAAGAGCGAGAAGGCGGCCACAAAGGAGATGCTGGCGCTCCTCAAAGACAAGTACAGCAGGTGTGTGGGGGGAGGGGGGGTGGGATCGGACGAACTGCTCTAGCTGGCGCGACGTCTGTGAACCCTCGTGACAAATTTTGCTGCAGGGCGAGAAAGGTCCGTCGGCTTTCTTGCGTGCCAAGGATGGAGAGGGCGGAGAGCTTGGGTTCGTCTGTTGACCTATCGATGTTTGAGGTTGTGGCTTCGCTGCTGAAACTGCAGCGCTGGCGCGCGGGTGCAGCTTGCAACAAGGGGCGCATCACAAAGCTTGGGATCTTTTTTGAAGCTAAAACGCGGTCGTGAAGCGACAGCAGGTCGCGAACAGCCGTGTCTCCGATAGATCCCCTGCTCTATCGATGAATTCCGATCTGATGCGTCGCCGGTTTTCTGGCATTCTTGCCCCTGGCGACAAACACAGCAAGGTGTTGACTTTCTGCTTGAACAGGTTGATCGGACCCGAGGTCTACAATATGCTGTCCAAGTATGATCTCATCGGGGTCGGGGTGATGCTCTCGCCGAACCCGGCGGGACAGGTGCGATTGTTTTTTTACATTTAGTGTAGCTGTTTTTTGTTTTGTTGTCGAGGAGTGGTAGCATCTGCGCATCTCTTCCGTCGTTCCTTTTGCAATAACCGTTGCTGAATTACCGCAGATACACTCCGTTCGTCTCGAACCCTGGTCGACGCTCGATATTGCAGGCCGTTGTCGAACTGATTGGTAGAACCTGCTAGATATCTCTCCTCCGCCCTTGAACTGCGGGCAGACTCGTCTTCGGCCGATTTTTTAAAGGAATGCACTTCCGTTTCATGCGCGGATCCCGCACGGCAAGAGCACTACAAGGGTAGTATGTAAATTGGGTAAACACAACGAGTACCTTGCGTTCCCCTCCGTTCTCTCGATCTCCCCCCGTGCCCTGCCGCCACCCGTGTGCGCCTCCAACGATGCGAAAATTTGGTCCCTGATCTCCACACCCGGCACCCGCAGCTTGTGGTCGCCTCCCCGCCCAAGGCGAACAGCCAGGCGGAGAAGCTGGGTGTGAAGAAGGGAGACCTGGTCTCCACCATCAACGGCTTGAACGTGGTGAACATGGACTCATTCGAGGTTACCGACTACCTGGCCAAGTATCAGGTCAGTTAAGGGGAGGGGAGGGGAGGGCCTGGGGCGAGCCCAGCAGTCTGCGGAGGTTTTTCTAAGCAAGAAAAACATACTGGATAAAGGATAGAATCGGCTTAGTTTGGGGATAGGGTTAGGGTCTGCGTGCCCCCTGCCTGGTCTTTGTTTCGTATTTAGCTTTCTTCGCGTAGGCAGTCCACCGAGCCTGTCCGGGACCACCCGCCTCGTGTCTTGTCACGGCACGCTTTCGGATGGCGGAGCAGTCCTCGTGTTCTTTTATGCGCGCGGGATATCAGGCTACAGGTAGAGAGGTTCCCGCTTGGACAGAATGCTTTCATCGAGGACCTAGTTTCTTTTCCGTAAACAACGCAGTTTGCCTCAATCGCGCAAGCTTATCGCCACCGCCTTGAATCAGACCACCTTCCTCGACTGTCGACCCAAAGCCGCGACATGGCTGAATCCGTTGGCGCGCAGCAGTAACATGCTGCACTCGCCAGGAGAAAGGCGATCACATACCGGAGCCCGTTTGTGTCGTAGCAGCGGTAGTGCGACACACTTGAGTTTTTCTCTCCCAATAATCCTTGCGAGTTGAGTCAAGCCCGCCGCTGCTCTAGTTTGTGTTTCCGGCCGATCTGTGTCAAGTGGAGAACGGAGGAAGAGGCTGAACGTGTTTTTTTACTGCTGAGACTACGGTAAAACAGGCGAGCGAGACCGTCTCGCAGGGAGAGGAAGTTGCGGTTCGTCGGCGGCGTCACTGGGTGTGCGCATTGTCCACCCCCCAGGCAACGGTCGGTCCGTTCCAGTGTTGCTGCTGTCGTTTTCACGCTGCTCTTCGATGCCGTTCCTTTTTTGTTCGTTGCGTGCTCGTCACACAGGGCAAGACTGTCATGTTTGAGCTTCGGAGCCCGGAGGCGGGGTCGAAGACGAGGTCGGTGGAGCTGGACAGGACGTTCCCGTCGACGGAGAACCCGGTGGCCTACCGAGTCAAGGTGGCGGCATGTTTTGTCGTTGTCGTCGTCGTTGTTGCTGGCGTTGCTATTGTCGTCGCCAATGATGCCGTTGTCGTTGGTGTAAATTATGGTGGCGGTGGTGTCGTTGCTGCTGTCGTTATCGTTGTGCGTGCCTGTTGTCGTTGTTGGTGGTGTCAGTGGCGGTGGTTGGTGTATCGTGTGCATGCCTGTGTTGATGCTACCGTGGGAAAGTGGAGCAATTTTCCCAACTTTTTGTACCGCAGAAGACAACCAATCCATGTACCGCGTACTCGGTGCGTCAGTACAGCCCCTTGGCCTCCTTAGCTGTCGTCGAAACGCATATTTTTCACAACGTACTTTCGTCGTAAAACATTCATTGAGTAGCCCCGCCCCCGCTCGGTTTTCTGCAAAGCTTAGAGCCAAGGAGAGCACAAGGTCGGCTACGCCCGCCTTCGCGACTTCAACTCTATCGTGGCCAACTCCCTCAAGGACGCCCTAGTGGAGATGAAGGCCGAGGGGGCGGACGAGTTCGTGCTAGACCTCAGGGGCAACGGCGGCGGGGCGTTCCAGAGCGCGCTCGGCGTGGCCGGTCTGTTCATGGACGCTAAGCCAATCACCTATGTGGTGCGTGTAGTTTGGAAAGGGGTTGTGTGGGGGACATGGGCGAGAAGAGCGAAGGGCAGGGTTCCGTGTGCTCAGCCTGTCTGGTGTGCCTTGTGCGGGGTTGGTAGCTGCTGCGGACTGATTGCCTTGACGGCGGAGATCGCGGAACTCAACGGTTGTAGAAGGCACCGTTGAGCTTTTTCTCGCGCTCCTTGTGTGTCGTCCTTGTGCGTTGTCTCTTTGGTCTGGAGTAGTCCACCCGGGCAAGACAAGTGTTCCCCGAAAAATTTTCGCTGAGGGCGGGGGGAAACTATGGTGGATGCGTACCGCGGCGTGCATTGCCTCCATTTACCACATGTCTAGCCTTGATTCTCTCCGATTCAAGCATCAACCCTAGCATATCACCAATGGTGGCCACGTTGCGAGTGGAATCGAAAATGTTGCCTGCAGGCTACCTCCATCCCCTTTTCATGCCGTCCCGCCCCGTTGTTTTTCGCCGTCGGTCCGGCCGGTTATTCCCGCAGGTGGACGGTTCAGGCCAGCGAGCGGAATTCATGACGAAGAAGGACGGGGTGGTTACGGAAGAGCCCCTCGTGGTGTGGGTAGACGGCGGGTCGGCTAGCTCCAGCGAGGTGCGTCGAACGGGGCAGCCTTGGGAGAACACGCAGCAGTAGCCAGGCGTGGAAGAACGTGGGCGGGTGCTTTCAGACAAACAACACATGCAACCCTCTGAAAACGATCGATCCGCGCCTGCTTTGCTGGGCTCGCTCCAAGCGGAAACCATACCTGTCCGTGATCCCTCACCTGCCCTCTCACCGGCGACGTGGGCTGAGAAAGCTAGAACTGCTATCGATAGGATTGATAAGATATGGAAGACATTTTTTAAGCCACCTTTGGCAAATTAGGAAGGGAACGATTCCCCATCGGTGATGGGTCCTGTGGGAGCAATGCTCCCTCTTCCCGAGGACGTGTAGTCAATGGTAGAGAGCTAAGGCATGCAAAAGGTGAGTATGCCCCCCCCCTCCCCCCCCCTCCGATGTTTGCCATCGGGGTTGGGTTTTCGTCGCTTGGCAACGACGTTGTAAAACATGCCGCCCCCCCCGGTGTTTGTCATCGGGGTTGGGTTTTCGTCGCTTGGCAACGACGTTGTAAAACAAGCCCCCCACTCGGTGTTTGCCATCGGGATTGGGTTTTCGTCGCTTGGCAACGACGTTGTAAAACAAGCCAATTCACTTCGTGAACTCGGCAACCAGGTTACCGTTTTTTTTTTTTACCTCGTTTTTTTTTTTGGCGGTAACCATAATGGTGGTCTAGTAGATCATGTTGTGCGGGGTCGAGAAACCTCACTCCGCGCAACGGGGGATGATCGTACCACGTTATGTTAAAATGGTCAAGCTTCCTCGAGGCAGTTACACAGTGCTTACAACTGTCTCTGGAAGTGAAAGCACCAGAAAATAAAATAAGTCATACGTAGCTGTCATCCGTACGCAAGGAAGTAAGCACAAGATGCCGAACACCCTTAGCAGGATGCAGCTCACCCTTCATGCGACTCGCCAAATACCTCACGGCGCTTCGCGCTTGGTGATGTGAGAGCCTGGTCCGGTGAGAACCCGGCGTGCTCCGTCCCGGCTTTGTAGGGATGCGAGGTCAATGGTCTAACGACTACGGCATGCACGACTATGAGTACCCCCCCCCCCCCCCCCCCCCGACCCCCCCCAAAAAAAT